TATATATATATATATATATATATATATATATGTAAGTTATATAATGTTTTTGTGTGCATATTTTTAAAATATTTTTATCTTTTATTTATTTTGGTAACCGTACATCTTTCAGTGTAAGACAATTTAGTAATTTTATTTAACCAAAATAATTTTTTTCTTTAATAAATGGCAACTATTTTTTAAAGTTTTATAACTTTCGTATGGAGCACGAAATGCCTTTAATTTGCTAATCTATAACTATTATAAAGGGAATATATTTTGGTAATCATCCTTTTGATCTCCACTTTTTAGTGAACTATTATACTCCTTAAAATGAAAGAAAAAAAATGTTCTTATATTCTTTCTAAATAACTATCTGTAACTTTTAATATTTGTCTATGTGTAATTATTAGAGGGACAAAATGTCTCGACCTCTCTAGTATATATAAAAGGAAAAAAAAAAAAAACTACTTGACTACCCTAAACTTTAGTCTTTATACAAATAGCACCATAAATTTTAATTAATTCTTAAATTTTATCTTATAAATAAATATTATAAACTTTAATTTTGTTCTAATTAATTTTAAATTATATTTTTTTACAAATAAACATTTAATTTTATTTTAATTGATATTGATATTTAATAATTTATTATTTTTATAAACAGTTTGTTATTATCAATTTAGGATTAAATTATTTATATTAAATATCAATCATTAACTAATATTGTCTTCCTCTTCTTTTGTTACAATTATTTTTCAAATATAATAAAAATATGAGTTTAAAAAGAAGAAAAAAAAAACAAAGAAAAGAGAGAGAATGATAACATAAAATTATTTTGACAATATAAATATTTTTTTTATTTAATCATTCAATTATGAATATTGTTATACGTACGCAATAAAATTACTGAACATCATAGTAATTGTTTCAAGAACACCTTTATATGGTACGGAAATTTTATACACGAAATAATACAAACTCGACTATAAATATTACATACAATAATATATAAAAGATATTATTATAAATATAATGAAAATAAATAAATTTACTTGCACAATAATTTATATTCTAAATCAAATTTCAACGATCTAATATTTGAATTATAAAATTTTAATATATAAATTAAATTTACAAACTTTTAAAAAATTTAAAAATTATTTAATATTTTATTATATAATTAAATTCAAATTAATAAATAGTTTTTTCTTATAATTATTTATCAATTTAAATTAAAAAATATAAAATAATAGTAAATTATGTATGTGTTGGTAATGAATTTTGTCATTAAAAAATTATCATATATATGTTATTTACTATAATTACTTTAACATGAATACATAGAATAAGATTTTGAATTAACTGGGAGAGTAAAAAGTTGAAGTTAAATTAAAAAAGTAAAGTAACCTTAAATTAAAAGACAAACGTTGACTTACTTGGGAGACGCTTGGGTCTTGGTCTTCTGGGTCTTGCATAATTGAACATGAGAAGCAGGAGTGCGGCAACGGCAACCGCAACGACTGGCACGACTACAGCAATGATAGTTCGTGATTGTTTGCTCTTTCCTGCAAACAACAAAACATATAGCAACTTTGAAAACAATTTATTTACTGCCCCGATATGTTGAGGCTTCCAACGAGCAACATCCAAGTAGATATATTTGCCAATTGCCAAGGCATGATGATATATACCTTTTTCAAGGGGAAGTGGTTGGGTAGGCTGTGGAGCAGGTGCATCCACAGTGAAATCGAAAAAGGAGTAAATATCGTATCTTAAGGAACAGCTTCGCCCTAGATATCTTCCCCCACTCCTTCCTTCACAATTAGGTGATGAAAGTGAAATAGTTCTCGACATAGCATACTGCAAGCACTTAGAGCAGTTTGAGTAAGACAAATAAGGCGCGCACTGAAGAAGACCGTATATGGTTTCATCGCTTGATCGAACCGGAGCCTCTCCTTCACCAATCTTGCGACGGGAGTCACCACCTGCGGCCGTGGTTCTCAGTCTATCCACCAACCCCTCCAACGCTTCATCAAACGCATCTTTCTTTGTCGTATTATCTGGGCTGCATTTTACTATGTCGCTGCTATCAGTTACAGTTTGTTCAACTATTGAGCTGTTGGAGTAGCGTAACATGCACACCTCATACCATCCAATCGCCTCTTTCTGTTGTCGGCACCTATCTGTGAGAAGGCTTGAGGCGCGTGAGAGGCAACTACGGCATGCCTCTGCCTTAACATCGCCTCTGCAGAGACCGATAGCGTAAACTTTGTCAGGCTCTTCGCCATCAGAGAAATTGTAGAACCCGTCGTCAATTTCTTTGTCGGAATATATTTTCTCCAAAAGGTTATTCAGGTTTTTGGAGTAGGTATCAGTAGTAATGTTTCCGAGCTCCATGTTACAGGTATGGTAAATGAAGTTTAGTTGGTCGTCGGATCTGTATGCGGAAAAGACAGAAGGAAATAATGAAAACAGAAGCAGCCAAGGAATCATGGCCATGGTAAGACAAGTATCTGTGGAGCAGCTTACACGAATCAACTTGAAAGACTTAAAAGCGATCTATACATCTACCTACTATTATTTTCTATGGCCACTAATAGTCAAAAGTCGTTTTCAATTATTCGATAAAATCAACCCGTTGTTTGCTTGAAATTTTATTACGTAGAGATATTTAGTTGAAACTTCGTCAAAGTTAATGGATAAAAAAAAAATACTTGAAAGTTAAAAAGACTAATTCTTTTTCTTCTTCAATTAAATCAGTGGTTAACAGATTTTTACCACGAATTATGTCAGGGTTAAAGTTTTATGTTTCCTATTTATATATTAAAAGTTTATGATTTAGTTTATTTAATGTTTTAATTTCTTGTAATTGTCCCTGGATTTAGTTTGTTTAAAGTTGGATTTCATATAATGTGATATTTCTATTTTGAGTTTTAGTTTATTAAAAAAATTAGTATTAATTATATTTATTGAATTTATGTATGTGAACTAGATGGTGTCACACAACTCGTTTAAGTGAGTAAGTTTTAGCTTTGAATGAACACACCCAGACATAAAATCCAACTCAAGAACAAAATTCATCAACTTAAATAATTCAACCATGCATTATCAACAATTTCAATCCTTTCATTCATGCCAAACCAACATGCAATCTTCAAAATTAAAGCAACACATATACATCGTACCAACAACACGCAACCACTCTAGGAATCAAAAAATAAGTTCCTCTTTCATCCCACGATGAATAACTATGAAACCTAGTACTTCTTCACATTCAACAATCAAAGTCATCAATGAACAATTCAACAAAAGAATCAACACATGTAACACCATAAAGAGTAATTTACAAGTTTTCCTTATCTCAAATCTTCCAAAAGAGAAGAGAAGGAAGAACGATAAAAAACACAACCCTTCGAGCTCTCGTTATACAAAAACTCCGACCTTTGATTCTCAACACTCCAAGCTTCGAATCTTCAATAAAGTACCACAACTCTGCTACATGGAAGGATTGAGATGCTTCTATATGTAGCGAGAAGAAAAAAAAACTTTTTTAACGATAGAGTTTATCTCTCTCTACAATTCTTAAAAAAAAAACTTATGAAGTTAAAGTCTTAAGAAAACCTTGTTTGTCTTTTCTTAAACTTGGTCAACTTTGATCTCCACAAAAAAATCCCCCAAACAATTAAAACTATAAGAATTCCTTAATTCTTAGAGGTTTAAAATATTAAAACAACACATCAACAATTATCAATTAAATAATATAATTAAATAAACAAAAATTCACAACACAGTGTTACAATTTGAGTAAATGTATTTGTAAGGGTAGTTATTTAAAAAAATGGTGAAAATAGAAATAGTAGTTTGAGAGGTGGTTATAAGGACAAGATTATAAAATAAATAAAAAAGTATACACTAAATGGAGTAATCTCATTTTTATTAATAGTATAAATTAGAAGTGCATAATAATAAATTTTTACATGTATACATTAATAATTTAATTAAAATGAGAATTATAAACTTAAATACTATATATTTTAAGTAGGATATAAACAAATATTATAATTTATGATTTTTTATTATCAAATATATCTATTTTTTATTTATCATAATCAAATTTGGTACCAGCATGTTTTACCATGACTTATACACATACTTAATCTATTGAGTTATATCGCTTGATAAAAGATTGTATATTTTAAGGTTTTTTTTTTTACAATAATATATATTTTAATTGAACAAATGTATACATAATTTAATAAGTTATAAATTATTTTTAAAAATTAGTAAATATATTCAAATAAAAAAATGTAGTAAACTACAATAAAATTGTCATATAGTGACATAATAAGTGTCATTAAAAATTACTTTTATCTATACTATAGATACAATATATATTGGTATATTGTTAAAAAAAAATGCAATAGTATAGACTATAGTGACACACAATACATGTTAAATCTCATTCAAAATCAACACTAAAATTGTATGTAGCTATATGTCAAATAGATTTATACTTACATATTTTGTACTTATAGTGACACTTTTGTATATTGTAGTGTTTTTAGTTACCATTTATAGGTATGAAGTATCCACCAATTTTTTTGATGGTTCATCTTTAAAGAAAAGTTTAACTAAACAACTATAATGAGTCTCCCATGTACGCTATCAATTCATATCTTTTGTTGTTTGATTGATGGTTGTTATTGAGAGCTTTAGATCCTAAGAGGAAGTTGATCTTTGGAAGCATGAACTAGAGATAAGGTGAGTCAGCTTAGAAAGGTATAACTGGAATTTTTCAAAAACGTGATTCATAACTCTAAGTTTTCCAAAAGCTATAGGGAGAAGCTAGAGAGAGAATTCCCTCTTCCTTCTTATTTCTTTCTTCTCCATTTTTCATTAAGAATCTTCCTTTTCCTCCATTCCTCAACTGATTCTAGCTAGTTAGAAGTGGTGAAGATCTAGGCTTCGAGGTTGGAACCTCAAGTTGGTAGTGCACAGAGTTGCTTCTTCTACTACTTCTCCTTTTTGCAAATTTTTCTTTCAAAGTAAGGGAAGTTGTGAATTTGAATTTTGTGTGCATGAAGTGCATTGTAATGTTGAAATGTGTTGATTTTGGATTATTGAGAAGAATTAGGTGATGAAATGATGAAGTTAAGAGGGTTTTATAACTTTGAAGAGAGATATGAGAAATGAGTTGATTCTTGAGTGATTATCATTGCATGTTATTTTTGATGATGAAATGATGTTCTTTAGGCTTTTTAAATGTTTTTTTGTGCAATGCATGTTGTTTGGAACTCTGATTTTTTAGCTGGAGTGGCCAAAATTAGCTTTTACACAAGTACAAAAATTGATATCACATCAGACGCACCTTCAGGATTCTAGGCGCGATTCCAAGGAGAGGTCTCTTTCTTAATCAGACCGAGCAAAGGATTGGTGACGCTAGACATGAGGAAAGAGACTCGTCTCGAGTTGGAATCACATTAGACGTGTGGGTTGAATGACATTGAGTGTGAGGAGAAAGACTCATCTCTGTCTGGGTTCATTTAGGTGTTAGGGGAGTGGCGCTAAGCTTGGGTTAGGTAAAGGCTATTTGCCTGGTTTGGGTTCGAGCGTGAGTTTTTTCATGCTAGGCACAAGAATGTGGGGGCACTTTCTACCTGAACAACGTCAGACGTAGGTGGTTTTGTGCCGCGTGGACAAGAGAGTGTTCTTTACCTCGATGGCGTTGGACACCTAGTGAGTGATGTCGGGTGCGAGATGCATGTTGCAAAACTGTTGTTTAAGTTGTTCTAATAGTTAATTGATGATGAAACTTGTATAAGTGACGTTCTAAGATGATATATGTGTGAGTGTGTGTGTGTTGATACGTAGTAAGTTGATCACGTTGTAAAGTTGTTTGTTATTTTAAGTTGCCTAATTAATGCTAATATAGACGATGTCTATTAAAGTTTCCCATTTTGTAAAGATATATGATATTTACGTTATTTAAGTTGATATGTTGTAAAGTTGAAAGTTGAACGTTGCATAAGTTATATGTTGTTATAGTTGTTAAGCTCGTAAGATATAGATAAATGGAATAGATACATGTTTTAGTTACGATACATAAAAACTATAGGGGAGTAAGTTATTTTCGAAATTAGAATATCACATTGTACAGATAAATGTTACGGTGCTCCGAGAGTCTAATTGTAACCCTTCCATAGGTAAGCTGACCTCTGAATGGGTAAGTTATTTTTCAGTTGTCCCCTCTAGGTTTTATGTGATATTCATATGTGGGAAAGGTCGAGACACACGTGTATAAAGTGACTAATTGAGTAAAGTATCGAGTTAGGGACTAGTATTGGAGGGGTGTTGTACCCGAAGGATAGTCGATGGACTAATCTCATAAGTGGCTTAGTGATGCAAGCTAATATCATGATAGACTCATACCTAAATTGTTCTACCTTGAAAATAATACTAGACTTCCTAATTTAAGTGACGAACCTAAGAAATTAGATTAAGTTGTTAGCTGGCCTAGTTGAGATAAGTCATACGTTGTTGTTTGGTAAGGTCTAGCCACTTAAACTACTCATTTTATGTTATGGGAGATCTCCATAGCTAACATGCATGACGACACATTAGATGTAATTATGTATATTATTGTGTTGAATATGTTGAAATTGATTAAGTTATTGTGTTGAACTATTGATGTATGTTGTAGTTGTTGTATTGTGATGTGCCTATGTTGCTTATTACTTTAATTGACATTTATGTTGAATTCTTTTCACAAGCTTATCTTGTGTTTCCTAGTAGTTGGAACTATAATGATCATACTTGGTATGAGAGTAAGACATGATTGAGCAGGATGATATATATATAGTTACAAGATAGTCACTTTGTAGGTGGTTAGGATTTTGTTGATGACTACTCCTAGATAGTCGGATTTTGTATAGATATCAACCAACGCTTAGGTTTATTTTGCAATTAATACTCTATTTTGTATAAAGCATGTATATATTTGATACTAGTTATTGATTGTATAATAAACTCTAATTCTGATGAATGTTATTTAATTTTTTGCTGCATAGTAACTGTTTAATAACAAATGTAGCAACATATTAGACCATTACATCTAGAGCTATCAAAATGAGTTTTGACCCGTGGGCCAACCCAACCCACTTTTAAAACGGGTCGGGCCAAAAAAATGAAACATTTCATAATGGGTCAAAAAATGTAATTCGACCCACTTTTGACCTGGCCCACTTGGGTTGAACCCATGGTAGGTCGGGCTGCCCACCTAACCTACTTACACTCTCATCAACCCAACCCACTAACAATCTACTTAACCATATATTATTATATATTATTTTAACAAAATACCATTTTTTATAGATAAATATAAAGTTAATGTTAAACAACATGAAATTGGTAACTATTCAAACCTCTAATGAAATTTAATATTGATGAATAATTACTTTCATAAAAGGATTTTTATTTTGATTATTTAAAGTTGTACAATTTTTAATTTAAATTTAATATTGTATGCATGATACTTAGTTTAACAAATTTT